CCCCAACTTCACGGAAAATTGACGAATTTTCGGAAATTTTGACCTAAAAGAGGGCTAAAAAGAGTCTTTTCGAGTGAAAATTGGGGGGGGGGGTTATGTCGGAAATTTGAAAGTTTTGTCGGAAATTTAGGAGGCTTTGCCCCCCCCCCCGGAAAAGTGAATTTCCGCCACTGTAGTTGCATCCCTACCAATGAAAACTTGTCGCAACTTTTCACGCCTTTTTACGAAGCTTTAGATGGTCGTTACCGTGTAGCTTTCGTACAACCGGTCCATGCATGTATTTTATTCATTAAAAAATTACGATCGTGTATAGAGGACATTTAGCGATCGTTGCTCACTTCAGATACTACTGCATGAGCTAATACCAGATGGTTGGGTTATGAAAGAAAAAGCTTAGATTCTTCCACTTTTACACGCTTCGCGCTTACAACCCCTCTTCAATTCGGAAATCAAGCAACGAATTCGCATAATAATAATATTAATAATAATAATTATAATAATAATAATAATAATAATAATAATAATAATAATAATAATAATTTTTTTTTAAACCATTTACAAATCAATTACATAGCCTGACCCATATAGTCATACATTTATGAGTCCAGACCAAATTTTCCCTAACTACACTTAATAAATAAGACAACAGTTCTCTGAATAAGCAGGTCCGTTATCTACACTGTCACACATTAGTAGCTAATAGAAGTTGAGCTTTTCAGGGCAAGACCAGTTCTTATTTCTCTTACAAAATATGTAGAAAGTGGCACGAAGTGCAACCTCCATACATTTTGTTATGATACGATCGTCTTGCAAATTTAACAACCTACATAGCCTACGAAATTGGCCTATACTCTTCGTGACGAAGCCTAGAGTAGTGACTTCCAAAGTTATAACTTTAAATCTATCACACGGTACGAGTAACTGTGATCGCAATGCCCGATATTTTTCTTGTTTACGTCGTCTTGCAATCATGCAGTTCGTTTCATATGGGACAGTCAATTCAATCACATACAAATCTCTTTTATAACGAATCGTAATATCTGGCCTTAACGCTTGAAACAGATTGGACGTACATTTCAAGCCAGAGTCTGGACAATCGGCAAAAATCTCCAGGTCTTCCGACATCACTCTCCTTAAGTGATGAAGAATGGTGTTTAATATAGAATCATGCCTCCACGTATACCGATGTTGTTGTAACGCTACAGGGCAATATGAAAGAACATGAAGTTGTGTTTGAATTTTGTTGCAAAGGTCACAATTTGGAGAATCTCGAATGTTCCAGCGCTTGAGGTTAGAATTGTTGCTCAAGTTAAGCACTAGAGCCCATCTTGCAAAACAAGTTATATTACGGGGTAGTCTGCAAACCATTTCTTGCCAAAAGTGCAGTATTTTCTTGTTGCACGCTTCAGTTAGATAGTTTATAATAATACTTTGTTCCTTTAGCGTAATAAAATTTGCCCAAATATCATTTGTACTTTGCTGTTTCAATAACTTATTTGTTCCGGTTTTCAGTTCGTATCCATTTGTTACATTTGATGATACTTTCTCAATTATTTCATCCGTATTAATATTTTTGGAAGATGTTACAGAATACAGATGTTGAATATCACTGTTCCTAGATGTTTTCAATATGCGCCTAACCGAAAGTTTGCATTGTAAATATATATCTGAAGCAGAGCAAAAGTCAATCCCTAGATATGATTTTGGTAGTTTTAGATGAGTGATATTGCCACTAATCGAGATCTGTAACCATTTTCGAATATACTTGGAAATAACTGGCTCAATATTTTGCTTTATCCAGGTCTCAGTAAAGGGGTATATAGAAAATCGCCAACGGAGCTTTGAGTAAACATAATTCTGAATAATTCTGATTTTCGAAAAAGGATTCATGGGGAAAAGATCTATTTTCTGCAGATATTCGTCGATTTCACTTAGTATCTCTACTTTGATCTGATCGCATTCCATATTAAAGTTAAATTGCTTTCCAAGATAGTTAAACCCCTGTTCGCATTCAATCGGCGGTACACGCTTGCCCGAGATGATAATAACTGGTTGGTATTGAATTGCTTTTGAGGATTGCTTCTTGATTCCAAAAGTATGGCATTTCTCAACACGAATATGCAAATCCGCCCACGTTGACCATTTATTAAATACATTACAAAGCAATTGATTGTCCTCTTCATGTGCACTTAATATTGCTGTGTCATCCGCAAATTGGAACCAGTGCCTAGGGTACATCGTTGCGTTATTTACATAGCCAAGACATTTTAATTTCGCGTCGTTTATTGTGTGAATCAAAGAATTTACACAAAGATTAAATAACAAGGGTGATAAACAATCACCTTGTAACACGCCTCGTTGCACTGGAATTGGTTTCGTAATGAACCCTTTCGTAATAATTGAGATACTGAAATCAGAGTAGAATTTCTCAACAAAGCATATAATTTCTTCAGGAATGTGATGAGCTGTCAAGATAGTTCGTATAAGTTTATGATGTACCTCACCAAAGGCATTTTTCAGATCAATTAAAGTAACTACAAGAGATCTTTGCTTATTTCTGGCATGGTTAATAATATGTGATAATAATTCCGTATGTTCAATAGTCCCCGAAATTCCAGGCCAAAAACCTTTCTGGATTCCCGACTCAATAAATTCGTTTTCGCAAACAAACTTAAAGATTCTATTCCTTAGCAATGATGTTATGACTTTTAGCAAAACAGGCTCTAGACAGATAGGACGGAAATTAGCAGGATCCTCAGTTGAATCTTTTTTATGGATCAATATCGCCGCCGCGTGCTTCCAGACAGATGGAATATTTTTTTCGTTCCAGCATTTACAGATAATTCTCCATAAATGCGTTCTTAAAATTGGACAACGTTGAAACGAAATAATGCTTATTTGGTCGAAAGGACACGCAGAGCCACGACTTTTCATTTTTCTGATTATTTTAGAGATCTCACGATACGTAGGACATTCTAAGTCGAAATCTTTACTTGCGGATGGAAATGAACTCAACCAGGACGGCCAATTAAACAAACGACTTTTACTTTTCTCCTTAAATAAGTTCTTAAAATAGTCGAAACACGACTGTTCGCTCAAGTTTGGTTCTAGCTCTTCAGTGTTTTCAAATTCATTTTTACAAAACTTCCAAAAGTTCTCATTTAATTCATTTTCATAATCCCGCTGGTCATTAACGCTTGACTGCATTCTTTTTCGCAATAACTTACTGACAAATTTTATTTCCTCCAAGCTGCCTCCGTTCGATTTTAAATCTTTTAAGCATTTTTTTAACTTTGATTTTGACATACTTCTATAGTGTTCAAATTTATTAGCCGACTTTACCAAACCACATGTATCTTTAAAGTAAGACCAGATAACGTTATTCATGAATACAATTTCCGAATCCAAGTCTCGCAGCTCTGGTCTAACACTGAATTGCGACTGAAAAAACTCGTTAGCTGCTTTCCAACTAAGATCCGATCGAGGAAGTTTTACTCCTGATAACACTTTAAACTTATCGGTCGGAAACAGAACTTCGGTCATGCTTTCATTACTATTTGCAATAGTAATGCTATCATCTTGTTGAGCAAACAGTTCAGCAAAGCACGGGTTATTCTGTACAAAGCATGATCGGCGATGTAAATTTAGTGAACGATAACTATTAAATGTACGCCCACAATAACACATAAAACTTTCTCCTGCGACATTAGTCGACCCTACCGTACATGTATTATTGTCCGCAGATGTTGAAGAAGACGCTCTCTCCGTATTAGGTGAGTTTCCGACACCAGTTCGTGATTTGCAACGCCATTGATGTCTGCCCAGCGATTTGAAATCCTTTCCACAATACTCACATATCGTTGCATTGCCGGTCAAAATTTGCCCAAAAATAACGATCAATACCACACAAAGCACCATAATGATCCCTTTCATACTCAAGGTGAAGTTCCAAAAGCTCAAAACTAATGTTAGTGCAGTTAAACTACATGAACTATTCAAAAAGTACAGGAGCGCCGTGAGCGTGAACTGCCCACCTCGCTGGTCACTAATAATAATAATAATAATAATAATAATAATAATAATAATAATAATAATAATAATAATAATAATAATAATAATAATAATAATAATAATAATAATGGAAACTTTATTGTAATCCTATACATTAAAATACATATAAATTTGATAGTATATATAACCTGATAAAACTAACTCATGTGTTTCTCTCCAATGTAAACATAGGGCAGTCCACAGAGATTACAGGCATCGCTATAGTAGTAGATACTTAGGATTAATAAAACTTTAAGATAGGCGGAGATGTCCATTGTTTGTTACGGCGTACATATATATAAAATGAGGCACGCATAGCTACTTCCATACACTTTTCAATCATTCTCTTATAATTAATGTTTGTATTTTTAAAGACACTGTATAAGTCATCTATATGTTTTGTTACTAGTCCAAGTGTTGTAAATTCAACGAAAATCTTTCTCCAGTGTCGAAACCTTTTCTTGCAATCATTTTGAATATCCCTATATTTGCTGATCTTTAGGTTCCTGCTCTTTTCAGAGTTTGTTTCAAAGCAACACGTCAATTCCAAAATGAAGATTCTGTCATCTTTTATTAGTACAATGTCTGGCCGGAATGAATGGAAGAATTCGTTCGGATTGTCAAAATTGTCTAGATCAGCATAGATTCGAAATCCGTATTTCCTTAGTTGAGATAGATAGTGAAGCAAAGTGTAAAGAATTGAGTCATGTCGCCAAGTGTATCGACCTTCATCTGCCGAAACCGGACAGGCAGAAAGCATGTGGAGTTGTGTTGGTTTGTTTGAGTAGCACAATTCACAAGATGGGTTATCACTTTTCCCCCATCGATATAGATTTGAATTATTCGGCAGAGAATATATCAAGGCTTGTCTCGCAAACACGAATATATTCTTTGGCATTTGGCGGCAGATGTTGTCCCACATTGTTATGTGCTTAGGAGATGCTACCTGTCTAGCATGTTTCATGATCGTATTCTGTTCCTTAAGAGTCGAGAGATGTTCCACCACGGTATTTTCGATTTGTTGCTTAAGAGCTGATCTAGGATTGTCGTTGTTATAAATCAAGCAATCAGTTTGCACATTATTGAACTTGGTAAGATTGAACAGGCATCTCATATCATTGTTGATGGATTTAGAAAGAATTTTTCTAATAGACAGCTTACAGTGTCTGTAAACATCAGAAGCCAGTTGGAGACCGACACCTAATTTGCTGCTAGCTAACTTCAGATGCGTCATGTTTGCACCTTTATGGAAATGTAGCCAACGCTTGATATAAGAGATATCTTGTCATCTAAGTGCTGTTCCACCCAAGTTTGTGAAAGCCTGTAGATTGATAAACGCCATCGCAGTTTACTGTAGACGTACTTCGTGATAATCAGAATTTTATTTCTAGGGTGCAAAGGGAGCCTGTTAATTTTCTCTAAATATTCCAAAAGATCACATTCTAGTTCCTGTTCGATTACGACCGTGTCCATTTTATAATTGAATTGCTTTCCTAGATATTGGAATGATTCGTTTATCTTAACCTGAGGAATCATCTGATTATTTACTTTGAGATAAGGCTTAAATTGCGTAGCCTTTTTCCCGTTGTGCTTGATTCCAAATGTGGAGCATTTATTAACTCTAACCTGGAAGCCTGCCCAACGGCACCATTTAGTGAATACGTCGAGGAGGGCTTGGTTATCTTCTTCGGATGTTGTGACTAGTGCAGTGTCGTCTGCAAACTGGAACCAGTGTCTGGGGCGTAGGTATTCACAATATGAATAGCCAATACATTGTACACGTTCATCTTCTATACATTTGATGAGGGTATTAACGCACATATTAAATAAAAGGGGAGAAAGGCAGTCACCTTGAAGAACTCCTTTACCAACTAAAATTGGGTTTGTAATAAAGCTTTCTGTGCCTACTGAGATGGTGTTAGTTATCATACTGGTTTTTGATAAGCTCTGTTACAGTTGTCGGAACATGGTGGTGTTCTAGTACAGTTGAAAGGAGTTGATGGTCAACTTCACCAAACGTGTTTTTTAAATCGAGTAGAGTGACTATCAAATGCCTTTTATTGTTGCGCGCATGGTTTATAATATGAGTTAACAGTTCGGTGTGTTCTATTGTGCCAGACACCTCTTCCCAGAAACCTTTTTGAATAATAATAATAATAATAATAATAATAATAATAATAATAATAATAATAATAATAATAATAATAATAATAATAATAATAATAATAATAATAATAATTTTTTTTTAAACCTTTACAAATCAATTACATAGCCTGACCCATATAGTCATACATTTATGAGTCCAGACCAAATTTTCCCTAACTACACTTAATAAATAAGACAACAGTTCTCTGAATAATCAGGTCCGTTATCTACACTGTCACACATTAGTAGCTAATAGAAGTTGAGCTTTTCAGGGCAAGACCAGTTCTTATTTCTCTTACAAAATATGTAGAAAGTGGCACGAAGTGCAACCTCCATACATTTTGTTATGATACGATCGTCTTGCAAATTTAACAACCTACATAGCCTACGAAATTGGCCTATACTCTTCGTGACGAAGCCTAGAGTAGTGACTTCCAAAGTTATAACTTTAAATCTATCACACGGTACGAGTAACTGTGATCGCAATGCCCGATATTTTTCTTGTTTACGTCGTCTTGCAATCATGCAGTTCGTTTCATATGGGACAGTCAATTCAATCACATACAAATCTCTTTTATAACGAATCGTAATATCTGGCCTTAACGCTTGAAACAGATTGGACGTACATTTCAAGCCAGAGTCTGGACAATCGGCAAAAATCTCCAGGTCTTCCGACATCACTCTCCTTAAGTGATGAAGAATGGTGTTTAATATAGAATCATGCCTCCACGTATACCGATGTTGTTGTAACGCTACAGGGCAATATGAAAGAACATGAAGTTGTGTTTGAATTTTGTTGCAAAGGTCACAATTTGGAGAATCTCGAATGTTCCAGCGCTTGAGGTTAGAATTGTTGCTCAAGTTAAGCACTAGAGCCCGTCTTGCAAAACAAGTTATATTACGGGGTAGTCTGCAAACCATTTCTTGCCAAAAGTGCAGTATTTTCTTGTTGCACGCTTCAGTTAGATAGTTTATAATAATACTTTGTTCCTTTAGCGTAATAAAATTTGCCCAAATATCATTTGTACTTTGCTGTTTCAATAACTTATTTGTTCCGGTTTTCAGTTCGTATCCATTTGTTACATTTGATGATACTTTCTCAATTATTTCATCCGTATTAATATTTTTGGAAGATGTTACAGAATACAGATGTTGAATATCACTGTTCCTAGATGTTTTCAATATGCGCCTAACCGAAAGTTTGCATTGTAAATATATATCTGAAGCAGAGCAAAAGTCAATCCCTAGATATGATTTTGGTAGTTTTAGATGAGTGATATTGCCACTAATCGAGATCTGTAACCATTTTCGAATATACTTGGAAATAGCTGGCTCAATATTTTGCTTTATCCAGGTCTCAGTAAAGGGGTATATAGAAAATCGCCAACGGAGCTTTGAGTAAACATAATTCTGAATAATTCTGATTTTCGAAAAAGGATTCATGGGATTCATATATAATAATAATAATAATAATAATAATAATAATAATAATAATAATAATAATAATAATAATAATAATAATAATAATAATAATAATAATAATAATAATAAATGTATTACTTATATAGCGCTATTTACAGCAATTGATCAAAAGCGCTTCACAGAGTTAAGAATAGATACAATATTTACATTATTGATTAGTTACATTGTTACTGATGAATTTATTAAATATTAACATTCTTAAAATTCAATATCCGTATCTTATAAAAAGTCAGTAAAAACGTTCCTAGAAAGATGAGTTTCTTGAACAAGTCAATAGATGTAAGTGAACGTATACCAAGTGGAAGACTATTCCAAAGATGAGGTGCAATAGCGTGAAAGGATCGAGCACCCAAGGTAGTAAGCATCTTAGCATCCTGCCTGCTGGAGGTCCCAATAGAGTGCCGTTGTTAGATCTTAAGTTGAAGGACGACTTCGATTTAACATTAATGAGATCCTTAATATAAGATGGTGCTAGATCGTGTACAGCTTTAAAAGCAAATAGTAACACCTTGAATTGTATTCTTGCATGTACCGGAAGCCAGTGTATTTCATACAGTACGGGCGTAATATGAGAATATTTCGGAACGTCCATTACTAATCTTGCAGCGGCATTCTGAACACGCTGTAGTTTAGATATTTGCTTTCCAAGGAGACCGTAAAATAAGCTATTACAGTAGTGGAGCCTGCTGGTGATGAAAGCATGTACTACGATCAGTAAGTTGTCTCTTGATAGATATTTCTTAATTCGTCTGATATTACATGCAGGTGGAAAAAGCAGGCTTTACATACTTTTGTGATAGTCGTCATGTTGAAGTTCGAATCCAACCAGCTGCCAAGGTTCTTAATATGCGGGCTAGGAGAAATCACAGAATTATTAACTGAAATGTTGATATGCTGAAGTTTACATAATTGCTGACGAGTGCCAATGACCAAGAAATCAGTTTTGCCATCGTTCATCAGGAGTTTATCCTAAATCATCCAGCGTCTTATCTTTTCATAAAACTAAGTTATAAAACTAAGTTATAAAATTTGTTATAAAAATTGTGTTTATTCAGACGGTTTTCGGTTTTTATCCCGGCTGAACCGTACAGTACATTTTAGTAAGTCTACTCACCACAGATAATTGCAGGAATATAATTATGCAAGTGACTTACGCCTGTATTCTAAAAGCTCACTCACACTCATACTCAAAGAGTGGAGGTTCAATATGAGCTTCCCTTGAGTGTCAGTGCTGTTCTTGAATAGCTGGAAAGTGAGTAGTCACATAATAAGGTGCAGTACTTCCTGGAAGTAAGTTAATTAACACTGCGGTTCGGTCGCGGTTCGTGCAGTTTGCGGTTGTGGTTCGTGCAATTTGCGGTTGTGGTTCGTGCGGTCGCGGTTCGTGCAATTTGCGGTTGCGGTTCGTGCAATTGTCGCATTAATTATAAGATTTACATTTCAATATTACGACTATGTTTGTATGTTTTTATATATACTATGTAAAACATGCCGTATAACAAAACCCGTGATATGAATTTCATTCTAGGTTGCAGTAATATATAAAGTTATTTATCATCATTATCATAATCAGAATTACTGTAAGGTTAGTACTCAATTCAACCGGCAAATGTTTTACTATCAAATAATGTTTTACTATCAAATAATGATTTACTGTAATCCAGCTTTAATACACTGCTAAATTTCCCAGAGAATTTATTAAGCTACCAAACTATCAGCACTATCATAAACGGGTTTAGCAAATTGACATAAATTTTGCCCACTTATATGTTTAATATTGAGTGACAAATATTCAGTGATCTTTGTGTGATAATTGATATTGAATGATAATTTCGCCTGCGCAAGCTTTAATGTACGTTTAAGCCACAGACCATGTACGGTAATTTGAATCTGCATGGATAAAGATTGCTATATGTGTTTGATACCCGTAAAAAATAAATTCCATCCGCGAAATTACTCCAAGAAATTGAACTTTGGCTCCGAAGTAGGCAACTGAGAAATTAGGAATTTTATCAACAGGTTATAACGGCTTGGAAAATCGACCGATTACTAACCCTCTAGCTTTTCCGCAAAAAGTCCAATGACACTTCAGGGAAGCTCACATTAAATCTACATGCCTGCGGAGGCGGACCCACTCACTAACCATTTAGGCTAAGTCGAGCGCCGAATTGAAGAGTTTTTTGATTTTCAAAGGCTTAGAAACGCTATGTCTTCCATCTGAGAGAAGTTTTAACAACATCTCGTAAACACAATGACGTCACAGTTACTTCACAATCCAAAGAATGACAAATATTCTTGCCCCTCCCCCCACCACACGCTTGTTATTGGAGTATACAGCATATATATTTGTATGTACACCCACATCAACCTCTCAGTAGGCCAATGAAGGTCAAGAAGGAATGCTCCGTTCCCGCTTGGAGAAAACTACAGTCTTTCATTGAACATGTCTTTCTGTTGTAAATCTTTCAAAAAACATATCTTATCTAA